TATTTGAACATATTTAGATACCTAAATATATTAAGTTATTAGAATTTATTTAGGTACCCAAATATTAGGTACCTGAATTAGTTTAGATATTTAAAACTATTTAAGTACCTAAATATATTTAAATACCTAAATATTAGGTACCTGAATATACACTGGTACCTAAAACTGTAAGGTACCTGCATTTATTTAAGAACTTAAAGCTATTTGGGAACCTGAATTTATTTAGGTATCTGAATATAGTAGAAACCTGAATTTTTAGGTACTTAAGGCAGTTTAGGTTCCTGAATTTAGTTATATACCTAAATAAAGGTACAAAATGTGTAAAGGTATCTAAATGTATTTAGTTATACTTGAAATTAAGTTAGGTATCTATGGTAAGACCACGTGCAGTTCAATTTGTGTTTTGAAAGTAACACCATATAGGTATGTACCTAAAATTATATTCAGATACCGAAAATTAACGAATACAAGAAATTGACATTAAATTCAGGTACATAACTAAAATAAACATAAAAGTTGTGTTTCTTAATTTTTAGATATATACTTTCAGGTACCAAATTTTGAACGAAATTACTAAACGTAATTTTTTTTTTGCAATAATTTAAAAATTATGAATAATAGTTTTGTCTCGTGAAAACTAAAATTTTTCATGTTTTATACATATATATATAAGATTCAGGTACTATTCTATATAGTGGTTGACCCACGCGTGTCATCGCATTTATTCATGCCAGATGAAACACGACGAGGGGCACGATGAGTTGGGGAAGCGGAAGGTAAATTTTCGCTCTTCGGACTTGTGACAAGAAGCTGGTGGTTGTATATATAAGGACCCTCAGAGCGTTGAGAAGATACGGGATTTTGGGTTCAATGGTCTCACTGTCGTCGTTTGGAGAGGGATTTTATCCTTGAACTTGGTTCTTCGCGCTTATGAAGAGTAGAAGAGAAGTCTTTTTCTTCTTCCCCAGTGATATTTCATTCCAGACTCGCGGGTTGGAATGTTCCTTGAAATTCCTCGCTGTTTGCGCTATAAAAGTCAGATACTGCTAATGCACAACCTCGATGACGACGAGAGAGTGAACGCTCGCTCGCTTGCTCGCTTGTGAGGCTCACTTGTTTTTGTTGGCGCGCGAACACCAAGAGAGCAGCGCATATAATCGAAACATTTTAGAATCGTGAACTTTCTCCTATTAAGATGTGACACGGTGTGGTGGTGACCCCAAAAAAAAAACGATATGAACTATCGATACGATTCAATAAAGAATGGCACACAATGGTGGAATGTGTACGTGTATACGAATTTACATTTATCTCAACACGAAACACGACGGTGCACTTCCAATATCTGTATCTTGTTGACGTCTCGATTTGATTCTCTTTATATTTGTCCTAAATTCAATGTTCTAGAAAGGAAACACAAATGTGTTTTTTAAATTATATTTGTTCTAGGTGAAAAAATGGTTTTTTTTACAAATTCAATTAATTTAGGCATTATAGCACTCAAAATTATACTTTAAGTGTAAATTATTGTACAGCTTCATGACAGTATTTAGGCACTAGGATTTTTTATTTACTACATAGTAATTTTCTTGTTTATTTTAAAGACAGTACTTTAGTTTAGACACAAGACAGTATTTTATGCACTGGACAGTACTTTAGGCAATAGACAGTATTTTAGCCCCCAGGCAGTACATTAGAGACTAGTATGTATGTTAGGCAGCAAACAGTATTTTAGACACCGGACAGTATTTTAGGCACTAGACAGTACTTTAGGAATTAGACAGTATGTTAGGCACCAAAAAGTATTTTAGGCATAGGACAGTATTTTAGGCATTATAATTTTTTATTTACTAGATAGTAATTTGCTAGTTCATTTTCAAGACAGTATTTTAGGTACTGGAAGGTACATTGTGCACTAGACAGTATTTTAGACACTAGACAGTAATTCAGACGCCAGGCAGTATTTTAGGAACTAGGTACTACTGTATGCACTACACAGTATACTGACACTGGAATGACACTAGTTATTTAGGCACCAAACAATTTTTTAGATATAAGACAGGATTATAGGCATTTGACAGTACTTTAGGCATTACACTATTTTAGGCATTTGACAGTTTTTATACACTACAAAGTGTAATTTCACTATAAATACATAAGTTATTTAGGCACCAAAGGTAAAAAACAGTAGACCATATTTAAGGCCTTGGACAGTATTTTGACACTAGATTGAATTTAATCACTAAACATTATTTAGGTACCAAGCAGTGTTATAGGCTCCGGACAGTATTTTAGGCACAAGACAGTACTTTAGGAATTAGACAGTATGTTAGGCACCAAAAAGTATTTTAGGCATAGGACAGTATTTTAGGCATTAGAATTTTATATTTACTAGATAGTAATTTGCTAGTTAATTTTCAAGACAGTGTTTTAGGTACTGAAGGTACATTGTGCACTAGACAGTATTTTAGGCACTAGACAGTAATTCAGGCACCAGACAGTATTTTAGGAACTAGTCACTACTGTATGAACTACACTAGACCACTTTTTTTACACTACAAAGTGTAATTTCACTATAGAAATACATAAGTTATTTAGGCACCAAAGGGTAAAAAACAGTAGACCGTACTTAAGGCCTTGGACAGTATTTTGACAATAGATTGAATTTAAGCACTATACATTATTTAGGTACCAAGAAGTGTTTTAGGCACTAAACAGTACTTTAGATTTTCTACAGTAACTTAATATATGATTGTATTGAAAAATTATACCATATTTAGGCACCAAGCAGTGCTTTAGGCACTTCACGGTATTTTTAGGCACTAGAAAGTATTTTAGGCAGAAAACAGTATTTTATGCAAAAAAACAGTATTTTAGGCACAAAACATTATTTAGGCAGCAAAAAAAATGCTTTAGGCACTTCTTTTCAAAAATTAAATAAAATTTCTGCCTTTGGCTGTATTTTAAGAACTAGACAAATATTTAGGCACCAAACGGTAAATAAAGCTTTAGACAGTATTTTAGGCTCTAGACATGAAATTAGGTACTAAATAGTAATTTAAGTATTTGACACTAGGCAATACTTTTGGCACTAGGCGGAATTTAGACACCAGACAGTGTTTTAGGCACTAGACAGTATTTTAGACACTATACAATACTTTAGACACACTAGACAGTATTTTAAGCATTAGATAGTAATTAAGGGACCAAATAATAAATTAGGTACTAGGCTGTAATTAAGTATTACACTATATATTTTAGGCACTAAATAGTAATTTAGGTACATGGCAGTAATTTAAGTAATAAACAGTAATTTTGGTAGTAGATAATAAATTGGGTTTTAGACAGTAAATTAGGTACTAAATAGTAATTTAAGTATTAGACAGTAATCTAGGTATTAAATGTAATTTTGGTAATAGACAGTAGTGTAGGCACTAAACAGTGTTTAAGGCACAGTACTTCAGGCGCTTGGCAGAATTTAGGCACCACAGTGATAAAGCTAGTATACTCTATATACAATATACTTTAAATACTAGATAGAATTTAGGCACTAAACAGTGTTTTAGGCACTAGATAGTATTTTATGCACTATACGATACTATAAACCCTAGACAGTATTTTAGGCATTATTTTGTAATTAAGGTACTAAATATTAATTTAGGTACTAGGCAGTAATTTAGGTTTTTCGCTATTGTTTAGGTACTAGACCGTAATTTAAGTATTAAACAGTAATTTTGGTACTAGTACTACTAGTGATTTGGTTTTTAGACAGTAAATTTGTTACTAAATAGTAATTTAAGTATTGGACAGTAATCTAGGTATTAGATATAGTAATTAGGAATTTTAGACATTAATTTAGGTACAAGACAGTAATTTATATCCTAGACAGTAATTTTGGTACTAAATAGTTTTTTAGGTACTAATGAGTAATTAAGGTACAAGTAATTAACATTCTAGACAGTACTGTAGGTAATAGATAGTAATTTACGTACTAGACAGTATTGTAAGTACTATGTAAAAAAATTAGGTACTAGATAGTAATAGTCAGTAATTTTTGTACCAGACAGTTCTGTAGGTAAAAAGTAATTCAACACCTAGTACAGTATTTTGAATACAAAGCAGTACGACAAAGCCAGAAAATATATTTAATACGCAAAACAGCTATTTAGGCACTATAAAAAATTACAACTACCATCCAATATTCTTTAGCCACCAGACAGTATGCATCTACCCAAACTATTTTTACCTCATAACAATTATTATAATTCTCCATAATTAAAATTCAGATGCTTTTCTTTTTAGAGATAAATTCAAAAAAAGAAATTTGCTTTCTACAATTTATTGGTTTTATTGTACCTATAATGAGTGCATGTAATTACTGATGTAAAAAAGAAAAAAAAAATTTCGTTCAATTCCAAATAAAGAAGTGTAGACGAAGGTCGTATTTGAAATTTGGAACATGGTCTCTCTGATGACGTTACTTTTGAAATTTATACATTATATATACAGACAGAAAAGAGCGCAACAAATCGTGACCACCCTCGCACTGCCAGTATTACGCCTGGGACGCACCAAGTATAGAGTTGTCCATGGACCGAGTTCTTGTGTGTATCAACATATGTAGGTACTCTTCGCACACTGCTTGGTTTTTGGTGGGGGACCTTGACCGAGTGACGTTCACCACAGTGGTCCCATCAGCCTTCTTACTCTACCTGTTCATCCCTCTCTCTCTCTCTCTCTCTCTCTCTGGATTTGTCTGTTCAATTCACTCTCTTTCTCCTTCAGGTCTCTCTCTCTCTCTTTCTTTCTCTCGTCCTTTCTCTCTCTTCTTGCAACTTTGACGAGCCGTCTGTCTGTCCGTCCGTTCGTCCGTCGATCCGCGAGTCTGCCGCGCCGGTGGGATGGAATTGTGAGCGCGAGAGCGAGCGAGAGAAAGAGAGAGAGATAGTCAAGAGAGGTAGAGAGTGAGTGGAAGGAGCAGTAAGCGGCCTACGCAGTTTCAAGCTCGGGCCCAGCATTTATTAGTTCTTCGGCGCTCGGCGGAGAACGTGCGTGCAAAACCTCGAGCGATTGGTTGCTGTTGCAACTCGTGTTACCGCAGTGCCACCGGCACCCCCCCTCATAGTCTCGCGATCGGTCACCGACCGAATCAATTTTGGATTCACTAGAAAAAAAAAAAAAATTTTTTTTAGTTTGCAAAAAAATTATTTTCCATCAAAAATCAGTGAATCAAGAAAAAAAAAATAAGGTGATCATCCAATCAAGATCTTGGAAAGTGTGACGTTACAAAAAAAAATAAATATATCGTTCCGGGTCAGATTGTGAAGAAGAAGAAGTGTATACATATATATAAATAAAAGGGGGATATCTATCTATATGGTTAAGGGTGACCGGTTTCGTTACCTTTGATCCCCCCAACGGTTCAGCATGGCGCTTCGATTCCACGAGATCTCGGCCGACCGGCTTGTTTGGCGAGGATAGTGACAGTTGTTGAACGCGAGTGCACCATACCCACGAGTATTTCTTCGTCCTTTTTTTTCCCCGTGTTATTTTTTTTTTTTTTTTTTTTTTTGCTCCTTTCTACTTCTTCTTCTTCTACATCATCTAGTGTTGCTGCCGTTGCTGCTGCTGTTGCTGTTACTGCTGCTGCTGCAGCCTCTTCTTCTTCTTCTTCTTACTTCTTCCGTTTCTTTGCGCAGAGACACGAGAAGACCACCAGCGATCGAAATGCCACGATACCAGTGAAGGTAAATTCCCTGATTGAAGTAGATCGATTCCGAGTTTCGATTCCTAGAAAGGCATCCGCGATCTTAGCCGCGGCAATGTCCTTTAACCAATCCTCCCTTCTCTCTCTCTCTCACCCCCCCCCTACCCCCCTTACACTGTGAGAAGATGTCACTGGCAATAATAATGAACCAAGAAATATATCCGGTATAATAATAAAAAAAAAGGTAAAAAAAAAAAATAAATTTTTTTTATAGAAAAAAAAATTTTTTAAATCTTTTTACTTTCTATAAAGTAAAAATAAAAAAACTCAAGAATGAAGATGGATATTTTCAAATTATATATAAACGAAGTGCTGCTGCAGGATTATAAATATCAATCGTTATTCTGGAATTGAAAAGGTTATCAGGTGAAACTTTATAGTATTCCAGAAGTAGTTTTGTTGGTTATAAAGTGAAAATAATGTTTTTGCAATAGAAAAAAAAACAGTGTGTGTGTGTATTCTACATTTGAGCGGGAATATTTTTTTAAGTGAAAAAGAAATTGATGAAAGTGATACTAAATTATTATTTTTTTTTGATACACAATGCAAGGATAATAATCAAGATGAAAAATAAGATCAAGAGCAACAGTGTAAATATGCATTAACGCATATTATAGTGTGACATTATTGGGAATATTATAGTACAACAAGAAATAGAGTGGTGTGTTTCAGGTACTGAAAATAATTTTCCTCGAGGTTGATAAATTAAGATTTTTTTTACTGTGTTTTAGTGACTGATTATTATTATAGTAAGGACTGAGTGTCTAAATCAGGTGCTTTAGTACCTAATGTAAGGTGCTTCAGTACCTGATGTAGATGCTTTAGTACCTTGATGTAGGTATTTTGGTACTTTTGTGCAGGTACCATTGGGTATCATACAGATGAATTAGTACATCAGGTAGGCTGCTACTTGATACAGTTAATTTATTACCTCTTCAGGTACCTGTTATCAGATATGACTATCTTAGTACCTAATTGTACACCTAATACATTAGTCAGTTTATTTAGTACCTAATTAGGTAACCTAATACTTGACTGACTTTTTTACCTGATTAGGTACCTTAATAACTGACTGGCTTTTTTTACCTGATTAGGTACCCTAATACCTGACTGGCTTTTTTTACCTGATTAGGTTCGCTTGTACTTCATACAGTTAAAATAGTAACTCTTCAGGTACTTGTCATCAGTTAACACTATCTTAGTACCTGATTATACACCTGACATTTTATTCAGTTTATTTAGTACCTGATTAGGTACCCAAATAACTGAGTGACTTTTTCCCTGATTGGGTACCATTAGGTACCATAAAGATAATTTTGTACATGATTAGGTTCGTTGGTACCTTAATACAGTTAACTTACTATCTTTTCTGGTACCTGTCACTACATAAAATTAGCTTAGATTACATACCTGAAACTTTATTCAGTTTACATAGTACCTGATTCAATACCATAGTACCTGATATTAACTTTTTACCTGATTAGGTACCGTAGTACGTGATATTTATTTTTCACGTGATTAGATTCCTAGTACCTGATATTCATTTTTCACTTGATTGCATTCCGTAGTCCCTGATATTTATTTTTTCACCTGATTAGGTATCGTAGTACCTGATATTTACTTTTTACCTGATTAGATATCGCAGTACCTGATTTTTTACTTTTTTCCTAATTAGGAACTAGTAAGTGACATACTTGACCTTACTTGATACCTAAATACCTGACATACTTAACTTTTGACCTGATTAGGTACCCTAGTACCTGATAACTTAGTACCTTATTAAAGAACCTAATAAGTGATAAAAACAAGTATCAAGTACTTTAGCAAGTGTATTTTAGTGCCTGACATGGTATTTTAGTACCAAATACATGTATATTAGTACCTGATGTAGGTACTATTTTAGTGCAGGTTTCTGAGTAACAGAATAGATACTAAAAAAATGTGTATTAAAATAGATAACTTAGTACCTGACAAAGGTACTACTAAGCACCTAGTAAAAGCACTACTAAGTACCTGATAAATGTACTACTAAGTAGCTGAAAAAGGTACTACTAAGCACTTAGTAAAGGCACTTCTAAGTACCTGATAAATGTACTACTAAGTACCTGAAAAGGGAATACTAAGTAGCTGATAAAGGTACTACTAAGCACCTAGTAAAGGCACTTCTAAGTACCTGATAAATGTACTACTAAGTACCTGATAAAGGTACTACTAAGCACCTAGTAAAGGCACTTCTAAGTACCTGATAAATGTACTACTAAGTACCTGATAAAGGTACTACTAAGTACCTAATAAAGGTACTACTAAGTACCTGACAAAGTAACTAACTAACAAAAAATAAATATATAGTTATATAACTTTATAGAATAAGGTACTTATTGTGCAAATATCTTCTTAGTACTAAAAATGATGCAAACATTAAAAATCAGGTACTAGTGACAAATTACTGTTATTTATTAGGATTTTTTATTATTATTTAAAGTTATATAATTTTTTATCAATATAATTATATATCAATCAGGTAGAAAAAAGTATTCATGTCACTTAATACTAAGGTTCTAATAATATAGGTACTAGATGACATTTTACAAACTTGTAAAGAACTAGGTTTGAATATTTGACATTCTGATTAATATTCACTATGTAGACATTAAACATTTTCACAACTCAGGTACTTAATTCTATATGAAGACTGAGAACTTGTGAAATTAAGATAGTATCACCACTTTTAAAAAAGTTGCAATTGTGTGATCCAACGCCCATTATTCAAGGTACTGTTAAAATTAAAATTATATCTTGTATAGTATTTAATTAACTTTTCATAACTAGGACATTATTAGTATATAGAATATTATAAGCTGTCATGGTACTATTAATATTAAAGTGAATACATACAAGGTACTATTTAATATATTTATTATTGTAATACTACAATTACGTAGGTACTATTAGAGTATAAGAAATATTTAAATACTAATAGTAGTACTACTAGTAATTATCATTATTATGATAAAAATGAAAAAATCTGTTAATTTTAATAGTACCTGATGCAACAATTTGTTTCAATACAAAAATAAAAGAAGTGCAAATGATTAAAAATGGTATCTACAGTTTTAAAAGAACACTGAAAAATATTTTAAACAGACATGTTCCATTAGTATCTGCGACAATAGTGTCTAAAGTACCTATAAGAATAAAAGTACCTGCAAATGTGGTACCTGCAAAATAAATGTAGTTCTACTGAAAAAGGCACTTGTATACGTAACTAGAAGTACCTGAAACATTAAAATATGAAAAATGATGGAAATACCTGATCAACTGAATGGTTTTAACGCAGTGTTTAAAAAATAAATATCTAGAATAGTTAAAATAAGAATGTACCTGAAAAATTAATAAACCAACTATAATTGCACTCATGTTACATAAATAGTACCTGAATACTGAAATAATAAAATATACTGAAGTACCTGCAACTTTAAAAAAAATTCGGAACTGAAATAATTGTACAACCTACAACTTATTAGTACCTGCAAAAATCATGTCTTAGTACCTGAATTATTAAAAACCTAAAACTTAATATGTATCAATCTATTATAGTACCTGCATTACAATGCAATATGCGGAATATTGAAAGTTTTCAAATTCATCCCTTAGTAGTACTTGAGATATAGTACCTAAAAAAGTACATGATGCATTATACCTACAACATAATACCTGAAAAATAGTTCCTGGAAATAAAAGCAAGAAAAAAATGAATACCAACGTTAAGATTAATTAGTACCTGTGTCACAAAAAGTACCTGCTCATAAAAATGGAAGTACCTGTATTGTTGAGAACTAATGCAATACTCATTGTTATCGTTCAGGTTAACAGGTTTTTAGTATTTACAAAAACAAATTTTTGAGGTACCCAAATTCTTAAAATCACCTAAAAAATTAAATACAATATTAAAAGTTGTCCTTGAAACTTGACAAGTTTTTTCAGTACTTACAGAAATCAATTTTCGAGGTGAATTACTAAAATCAACTAAAAAAATTGAGAATATTTGTGAATATTGTGGTGTATTATTAATCAATAATTTATTAGCTTTTAAAGGTATCTAATTAATTGTATCTTTTATTTAGTATACCTAATACATACTACCTGAAACTAAGTACCTGAATTACCTGAAACAGTACCTGAAACAATACTTGAAATACCTAAAACAGTACCTAAAGTACTTGAAGTACCTAAAGTACTTAGAATACCTAAAACAGTACCTAAAGTACTTGAAGTACCTAAAGTACTTAGAATACCTAAAACAGTACCTAAAGTACTTCAAGTATCTAAAGTACTTAAAGTACCTAAAGTACTTCAAGTACATAAATTACTTCAAGTACCTAAAGGACTTCGAGTACCTAAAGTACTTCAAGTACCTAAAGTACTTCAAGTATCTGAAGTACTCAAGTACCTAAAGTACTTCAAGTATCTAAAGTACTTCAAGTACCTGAACTACTTCAAGTACCTAAAGTACTTCTAGTACCTAAATTACTTCAAGTACCTAAAGTACTTAAAATACCTAAAGTACTTGAAGTACCTAAAGTACTTAGAATACCTAAAACAGTACCTAAAGTACTTGAAGTACCTAAAGTACTTAGAATACCTAAAACAGTACCTAAAGTACTTCAAGTATCTAAAGTACTTAAAGTACCTAAAGTACTTCAAGTACATAAATTACTTCAAGTACCTAAAGGACTTCGAGTACCTAAAGTACTTCAAGTACCTAAAGTACTTCAAGTATCTGAAGTACTCAAGTACCTAAAGTACTTCAAGTACCTAAAGTACTTCAAGTACCTGAACTACTTCAAGTACCTAAATTACTTCTAGTACCTAAATTACTTCAAGTACCTAAAGTACTTAAAATACCTAAAGTACTTGAAATACCTAAAGTACTTGAAATACCTAAAGTCCTAGAATTATGTAAAGTACTTGAGGTACCTA